ACATGTCTGTTTCCCACCTCTACATGTTCTGACTTGTTAAAACCTGGGACAAGGCCCTGGCATCTGAATCTTTCAAATCTCCATAGATGATTCTGATGCACATCCAGGATTAAGAATCTCTACAAAACAAACCAATGGAGAGGATTTTTTTTTTAATGTTTTCTTTTATCACTATGCTCCCTGGAAAAATAGCTTGCGTAGAAAAAAATGTATGGCCATTTTTGGACAATAGTATTCATTTATATTCTAAAGAGATTAGTTTCAAGCACTGGACTGGCCAGGCCTATGTAAATTGAAGCCAAATTACCTGACAGAATCTTCTGTGAACTGTCACATCTATCATACCTTGCCTTCATAGATAGCCAGATGATTCATTACTTTCCATAAAACAGAACATTCTAGTGTTATCATTAAACAGTGATGATGTTCATAAGAGAGGATAGCATGTAATTATTTAAATTCAAATAATTAAATTATTTAATTTTCCAGGGACTCTATTGTGGTCTTGAAAAGTACAGGAAATAGTGCCTTGAACAGCTCCTAAATCTATTAAAGAAAATTAATTCTGCATCTTGGTACATTCCATTCTCATCCCAGAAATTGGCATATTCCTTTGCTTATCTTGTGCAATGAAAACAGCTACAGATATGAATGATGAAAGAACACATGTAATTTTGGGAATGTATTATTGAGCATATAAAGTAAGGGTTGCTACAGTGGTTGATAACACAATCACCCGAAATTTGACTTAATGGAGAACAAGACTGAACAGATGAAACTAAAAGCAAATTCTCAGTAAAACTAGAGTGAGCTGGGAAACTTGACCTGTGACTCCACCACTATTAACTGTTTTGCTGTCATTAACCAACTGACCTTATGGGGGAATAGTAAAATCAATTAAACCGTTTGGTCTGATCCTAAGGGAATGTGGATAAATTGTTTGAAAACCGAGTGCTTGAAAATTAGGTGGTTAATAACCGATTGGTTTGAAGTTTTATTTACAAAAAAGGGTCTCTTTTTAAATATTATGGCAGCCATAAAAAGAGGCTGATGATCTCGCATCACTGTCAGTCATGTATCGAAGAGAAAGAAAGCAATGTGTGTTTTATGGCAGATACTACGTCAGTCATTTCTGAGCTAATTAGGAAAAACAACATTACAAATTACATTGTGCACTTATATGTCATGCTGTACTAAACAATTTACTTTCAGTTTCCTCACTTTCTATAAATATCTGTGGTCAGGTTTTTGTGTGCACATAAGTTTTAAATTTATTGGGTTAATATCAAAGTGTATGATTGCTGGAACACCTAATAAAACTTTATTCAAATTTTTAAGGAACTACCAAACACATCTTCCAATATGCATATATTGTTTTGCAATCACATACGCAATGAATGCAGATTCCTGTTGCTCCACATCCTGGCCAGCATTTCATGGAGCCAGTGCTGTACACTGGAGTCAGTGCATTAGGTGTGTAGGGGTATAGCACTGTTTTAATACGCAATTCCCAAATGAGGTATGATGTGAAGCATCTTTTCATAAACAACCCTCAGACAAGGACATCCTACTCTGAACAGTTCATAGTTAAGGGTTTTCCTGACAGCAGGAGAAGAGTTATCAGCACATTTACAATGATAATAAACTACACATTTACAAGGATGATCAACTAGGTTACCTATCTTCTTTTATTGGGAGAGAAGAAATTATTTTGTAATCAATTATTGAGAAATGGGATTTGAGCCACTTGCTTTAACCCTTCTTACCGAACTAGACTGTTCAATCATTACTGAACTCTAAGTGATCTTTGAATAGAGGTTTCCAAAGTATTGACTCCAAATGAATGCTTTCTACAAATAATTCCTTAAATTTTTTCTGAACATATATTTGAGAAAATATTGATAGCAGCTCCCAGAAAGGCTGTTTTCCTTCTGAGCTGCTAGTGATATATGTTAAGGGTTGTCAGTAAATATATGTGGGTGTGCGCATGTGTGTTCTATGTAAATCTGTTCTTGCTGCACCGATATGAAAAACTACTAACGTGTAAAAATGTAAATAAACGTGTCACTTAACGACAGGAATACAATCTGAGAAACATGTGGATCAACGTTGTCATTGTGTGAACGTCGTAGGCCGCTTACACAAACTAAGATGGCCAGGACCTCACTAGGAGATAGCATCTCGTGGGAGCACCGCAGTACACACGGCCCATGGTTGAGCAAAGTGTCTTTATACAGCACACAACTGTCACAGCTGCTTATCTAGGGGGAAAGAATGAAAGGAGGGAAAAGCTGTATGGAGACACACGTGGGAAAAACAACTGTGCAACTCTTATTTTACAACCTTCGAAAGTAGAAGAGCTCTGATTTCAAAACGAAACTTCCGCCAGAGTGGAGAGACTTGTTCACTTTGCTCACCTCAAGTCTTCTTCCCCTTGGCGGTCGAGTGGCGCTGATGGTCCTTTAGTCTCGATGAAATGATGCCAGAGAGGTGTCTGTCTCTGGAAAAGAGCGTATTTCCACCCAAGGACTTCTTAAGTGCCTTTTTTCTCTTTAACAAAAACTTTTTAAAGTACTTTTAAATATTTTAATGAATTTTCATTAAGTTTTGTTTGCCCTTGGAATATTTTTATAAAGTCTGCTGATTTCTCCTCCATAAATTACAGCACTCAATTATGTAGTTGAATGTGTATTTTTAAAGAAATTCTGGGTACAGAACATTATTATAAATTATATTTAAATCTATTATGTCTTCAAACATCAAAAATGAAAATGGGATAAATCTTACTGGTTCAAAGTAATCCTCAGCAATATATAAATAAAGTGGAAAAATATCTACAGATATTTTTATTAACAATATTTCTTTTATTAAATATTTATTCTTTATTAATGAAATCTACAGAGATGATATAAATCTAGGCATTCTCCAAAATATTCTACCACAAAAATACAAGTACTAAAAGTTTCACATTTGGTCTATTTTAAAAATGACACTGGTTTACATTTATAGTTGTGACTTTCGCCGAGGATAGAAATAAGAAAAGATCAATCTGATAACTGATATTAAGAAGACAAAAATGTCCTGACAAAAATGTGAGCTAATATAAAAAATTTTTACTTACAGAATATTTTGATGAATCTAAATTTGGTATATTTTCATTGTCTGTACTATTCTTTCAATTTCAACTTCTCTCTATTCTACTTTAAATTTTTATTTCTAAGAATATGATAATTTAGGATTCCCTTTTTCTTAAGAAACAATTCTTAAATGTAAGAGCCAGGCTAGACACTTTCTCCATTTCTGAACAAATTACTGGGTTTCAGCAAGGTGTAAATTTTTTGGGGTGTGTGTGTGTGTGTATAGTAAATTGTCATTACTCCTTCAGATCATTTTTTACTACAAGACCTGGTATAAATTATCATTTTTTAAAAATTTTTCTTTAAAACTCTGGTGTTGTATAATTTCAGTGAAAGTGTAAGAAGTACAGGAAATAGAAGCAAGTAATGAGAAAACATGAAATTTTACTGAAAAACCCAAAACACAAAGAGTAGAAATACATACAAGGAGAAAATAATTTTCAAGAAGATACATAACAAATTTGAGATATTGCATATTCTATCTTGCATGAAATTTTAAAAAATCTTCCTGTGACAAGATAAATGGTGATCTGACAGTTTTTATGAGACTTTCATATTCTTTCCAGTATAATAGCAATGTATCTCATATTAACAAAAAATTACAACATCAGTACTAATGGACCAACTTTTTGATTTTTAATGATGCAGTGTTTCATAGAAGATTGGGCAAACTCTTTAAACCAGGGGACCTTTTGGTCAGTAAATATTTATTAAGTAATTGAATGTATTAAGTTTTCCATATTGTTATCAGATAATGGATGAATTTTATTACAGACAGGATCCCTATTTCAGTTGTACATGTGTGAAGGTGTTTATTTTCTTCTTTTGAATACCCAAATGTTAATTTTTAGAAATTCACTGGATGATGCACTGAAAATATTTCCAAAAGGTGAGTTTGACAGGAAATCTGGAAAAGAACAGGTGGTCTTCTTGCCAGATTGCAGGTGCAAGGAAGAGAGGACAAAGTTAGGTCAGAGTCAAGGGACCTAGGAAGCAGGTGTAACAGAATAAACAGCAGCAATGTTCAATATGGGGGAATGGATATATACATAGGAGAACTAAGAAAGAAAACAGGAGTCTGCACAAAGAAGACAGTAAGAGGACTCCCCACTGCAAAAGTTGCAGAAACATCTGTAGACACTTCTCCATCACAGCCAGGAAGGAGGATCCTTGCCACAGAGCCATGCAAAAAAGCTTAACTACCTGTGATGTTTGGTTTGAGGGCACAGAAAATACTCAGCACGCAAGCCTCTAATTAGTCTATGACAACTTCAGCTCCACCCTCCCAGTGGAAAACATATGTCAAAGCAGCACTTAGTATTGATTGAAACATAAGGAAATTTGGTGATTCATCTCTTTCCCTGACATGCCTGCCTTATTTCACCCTCATTTGTCTGAAGAAAAGGGAAAAGCACTCCTTTCCAAGGAGAGATAAGATATGGCTCTGGTTCATTTATCATGTAACAGTTTTGCTTTGCTATTGCACCTGAGGTTAGAAAAATTCTGCCCACACTGCCCTGTCAGACAGGCAATAACGCAAGAGTACGTATGACAGAGGTACTAGCAGCTGGGAGACTGCGCTGTCTAAAGTGCTACTACTGACGAGTGGGCCAGCCACCCGGAAGACTGAACAAGTCATTAGAAGATCAACAGTGACTATGACCAGCCTCCCTGCTTTGCCCCTTGAACATCATATCTGTCCTGTCTCTACATTATCCCATTTACAGCTCATCTGGGGCTAATGTAGCAGAGACAAAACATGGAGAAGTCAGAGTGAGAAATCTTACAAAGGGAAAGAAAATTCTTTATTCTGACAAGTGGAGTTCATGATTTTTAAAAGGAAAAAATATATAGTGTAGATTTCTGGCCACACATTGCTACCCCTGGCCCATTTAACTCATTCAATGGGATGGATATTGGCCCTCATGGAGCGAGTGCATTTTGTGGGTCAATCACAGGCATGTTTGTGGAGACAGGCTGGTGTGCAGAGCCAGGGCCTCCAGGTCAATGACGAGCCAAAGGCTGTTTATGGTGCCACTCCTGGAGTTACTGCTTCTGAGAGCTGGTGCTTTTGAAGTGCGGCCAGCTGAAAGAAACAAGCAACCACAGAAAACATAATGGAGCCTATGAGAGGCCTGGGCCAAAAATGCACCTACACAATTACCCGATTGTTAGGCTTTCCGTTCGATTGCAGATGTCTACCTTATCTTGACAATGACTTGCTGAGCAGTGCTGCAAAGTCATTAAACTTTGTATGCTACTCAGTCTTTCAATTTATAAAATAAGTTAATAAAAGCAATTTGATATAGAGTAGTGTTACATACAAGCAGGTGTCCTTGAAACTATTCACTTTATTTAAGAGATCAAATAGATTAGCTTCCTATTGACAGATTCATATACTAGCACAGAAAGTGTCTATGAAGGACAACAATCAAATACCTAGGACATTCATAAAGCCCAGGTGGAGAGTAGTATTGGAGGACTCCCATTTTCTACCCCTGCTCAGGCCCTCAGATTAGGAAGAAAGAAAAATTTCAGCCCTTCAGGCAAACAAAAGAACCAAATTCCTCTTTTCATATTTAGTTGAGAACAGTAACAAAGGCGAATCTACTGTGATCCAGAACCAAGTTAAGGATTGAGGTCAGGGGCCAAGGATTTAGCTCAGTGACACATGTCTGCCCCATAAGCACAAGGTCATGATTTCAATCCCCAGTACCAAAAAAAAAAGGGAATTGAGGTCAATAGAGAAGAGAAACTAAAGTTCTGTCATACAAGCAATCCAACCACATTCCTTCTTTACTCCTACCATTGTGGACACAACACTTAAGTGCTTGGGAAATATAAGAAAAGAAGAGAGGTTTTTAAGAAAAAAAAAAAATATATATATTCTCAAATTATCTTATTCACAACAATAAAAGTCATTCATGTATTTTCTGTGAGGATCTCCCCATCCAAAGAGGTGGGAGGGAGGAGGGAAGGGGACACAAATTAAGAAATGTTCCATACATGTACTAATCCCCCATGAATATAATCATTATGTACTACAAACATGAACTAATAAAAATTAAAATGAACCTAATTGCAAAAATAAAAACATAGAATGCAAAATTAACCCCACCATCTTCTCATCCCCCACAACTTTTAAAGAAATATCAAGCAGACATAGTAGGTTCTTATGACATACTCTTCTTGGAAATAAATAGCACTTTTCCATACTCTAGTTTTCAATCATTTGACAGAATAACAGAAGGGGAGAATATAGAAAAAATGTACGAATAATCTTGGACTATAGAGATACAATTTACACTTGTATTTGCATTTATTTATGCATCAGACAGCTTTTCTTAAAATTGTTTACCTGTCTCAAAGTAAAAAAAATTAAAGGAGCTAGAGATGCAGGTCAATGTGGAGACCCTGAGTTCAACCCCCTAGTACTGCAAAAAACATTATTTCATACTCCTCTGTAACTTACATAATTTATAGAGTAAAATTTCACTAGTGCATAGATTTATCCTTTATTATCTTATGTTTTTATTATATGTATTAGGTGATACATTTCTTTAAAGGAAAGAATGATATTATCTTTTATCTTCTATTTTCAATAAAGGCTGATTGACCAAGAGAACTATTTTAGGGCCAGTTTGTTAGTACTTCATCTCTTGCCATCGCTAGTTTTGTACTCCTCCTAGATTTTTGTTTGTTTGCTTTCTAAAATATGAACCATCTGTGCCTCTTATCTTGTGTTTTTAAATATGCTATCTAATTACAGGGTTTTAAACTTTTATATTTTACCCTCAAGCCTGCTGATGGTCATTTTTGTCAAAATTGAATGCCTGCCCTTTGAAAGGTCATTTCTAAGGTTTTAACCTGTTGGTTTGTGTTATTACAGCAAATCTCACCACAGAATGTTTGCTGGTGTACAATAACCACCTCGTTCACTGCTGCATATAATGAATAATGAAGTCAAAAGCCACTATTTCCTCTTCGTTGTTAAGATCAGCCTTTAAACATACCTATATTTTCTGGTTTGGCTTTTCACATTTTCAGCTGCTAGTAAGAGAATACTCAAAAATTTACAAAAAGGAACTGTTTTTATGCAACTTTTTAAAATGCAGTATTATTATATAAGAATTATGATGAGGCAATGAAGAATTTCACTAATGCACTCAGTAAAGTATTTCTCTAGTCATAATAATGCTTGGCTTCATAGGCTCCACAACTAAATAATCCTTTATTTTTATTTGACATGAGATAGTGGTATATTATTTAATGTAGAGAGGATCTTTCTAGGAAGAATTGGAGACAGTCTAAAATATAAGCAAATTATCAAAATTGCACATACAAGTACAAAACAATAAAAAATAAATTTCAAACTAGAAATATAAATCCTGTAAAGATGAGAAAGTATTTTTAAAAACCAGGAACACAGATCATTTACAACAAATGTGTATTGGATTTGACCCTAAGAAGCCATTCCTAAAAGGAGCTTGGGTGAAGGGAATGGTTATGTTTCGCAAACACCATTCATTTTCTTTCCCCTTCTTTGACAAAAACAGAACTCAGAAGGGCCCTGAAACGTAAATACTGGGACAGCTTTTCAGTGCTGATATCCTGACTTAGTGGCATCAAATGCTACTTCCTGAACAACTAAAGTAGCCCTCAAATAGATTTATAGCTCCAATGAAGTCTCCTATTTTGGGTACTAGTTGTAAGATTAATAATAATAATAGCATTGAGGATTACAGACAATGAGCATACTAATCTATATAATGTGTAAATATTAAAGATATTATAAATACTGAAGGACTTCTAACTTCAGAAAATGGGCAAGTATTCCACTTACTATAATTCTCTTTAGTATATTCCGTACTCTAAAACACACTACAGCTAAATTAATTGCACTTTTTAAAACTTTTCATGATCTAGAATTACAAATATAAAATTGCATTTCTCTCTTTAAATTAGTTATCTTGGAAGGTTAAAATGTAGGCAATTCTCCAAGTATTATAGAGCACAAGCATAGGCATTACCATTGGAACTAGTCGACAAAAGAATAGATCTAAACTTTTACTAAATGCTTGGTATCCCATGGTTATCTTTCTCATTTTTATTAAAGGAATGCAATGTTGACAATGTGAATTTGGAAAGCAGATAAACCTGGCACTGAAACAAAACTTACCTGATACCTATTTCATAGCCCGCAAAATAGTAAGCACATAGACACTGAAGACTTTTACAAGGGCAACAATATATGTGAAGCACCACCCACAGGCTCTTCCACACAGTTGTTTAAAACTCTTACTTGTTTATACAGAACCTTTCCACAATTACATAAAATGTCACAGTAGAAAACTTCTGAGTTTAATTCCAGAGATTATATTACTAATATTGCCAATGATACCAATATTATCAATTGCTAGAAGGTAATACCAGTAGCAAGAAGTTTTATTTTTTGTTGCTGTCAATTGAATTCTGTATCATTTTGAAATTCTTTTATTTGCCTTCTATCTCACTTTAACATTATACAATTACCATGATGTCCATCGCTCTACCTACTGTAATACAATAACTGAAGAGGAAGAAATGGGAAGAAAGATAAATCAACACATATTTTGGTATATACAAAAGTATTTACTCCTAAAAAAATAATCCAACTGCCAGAAGGCCAAAGATTTTCAGCAAATCAACATATTTTGAAACTTTGACATTTTATATTATCTTAGAAATTAACCTTTTAACTTTCCATGCACATTACCCCCAACTTTCCAACAAACATCCTATCTATAAACTATGTCTTTAAGGATAGAGTAAAAGTGAAAAATAATGCAGGTGGAAGGAATACATTTGGTATACATTGTTTTGTTTTAAAAAGTGTTTTCTTTGACAGCAAAAACATCTTGCTTTATTCAATAAGAATATACAGCTTCCATTGTAAAAATGTATAATTAAAAATTTTTGTTATTAGATGCATACAGATAAAATACTTTGTGAATAACATACATACATACAATGTTAACAACATAAAATATCTGCCAGTAGTTCTCTTTAACATCTTTATAAGAGATGAAATAATTATGTACCACCATTGATAACTGGAACTATGGCTATGTAAAAGCCATGATACAAAATTGAAAATGTAACTTAAACATGATCAAGGCTGTAACAGAAATAAATTTAAATTGAGTTTAATTCAATGTAATGTTTGAGGATACTCTGCCTTAGCCAAATTTCCAGATCTAACCTATGTATGCTGCTGGCTGCTGTAGCACCATTTCTCTAGTTCAACATAACTACGCAACTGTTTAGTGTCTGCTAGCTTTGCAAAAGAGATGGTAGGCAATAGAAAACAGGCATCTAGAGTTCAGGGAAAGGGTTTAGGCTGGGATCATCAAGCTCATAGTTGACTTAATTACATAATATTGTGTGAGATCATGGGAGATGTGTGAGTAGCTGGGAAAGAATGAAGTCTCACAGCCAAAGAATCACAACAGGAATCATGATGACATAATAATTTAAACCCACCGAAAGAAAAGAGCATGCTTATTTTCTTTTTTATCACTTATTGAGGGCTTTATGGATAGATTTCACTGAGATTAGCGAGTCATAAACTGTTCACAGAGGAGACTAGCATCTACAGAGTGATAAAAGGGAGTGAGGAAATTCTGAGAGGCACTTTGGCTCCCATTATTTCAAGACACAGGATTCCATTTGCTTTAAAATATTAAGGAGCTAAATAAGCTTCCCTTAAATCCATTTTGTTGTTAGAAAAAAATGAGTAATTCCCCCTTTATATTAAGGAATAGAGACAAGTCAGGCATGGGGGTGCATGCCTGTAATCCCAGCACTCGGGTGGCTGAGGCAGGAGGATCGCTGTGAGTTCCAGACTGGCCTGGGCTACATAGTGAATTCCAAGTCAGTGTCAACTACATAGTGAGACTCTGTCTCAAAAAAGAAAAGAAAGAAAAGAAAAGGAAATAGAGACAATTTTGTGTCCTATAATGAGAAAGGAACAGTAAAGATACCCCGGTTAGAGCAAACCGGGTTATTCTGGTGTCTAGACCAGTAAAAACTTGTAACATGGAAGAC